AAACCTTGTCGGCGTTACCCCAGCACCGGACCCACTGGGGGAAAGGGTTGAGAGATTGGGCCGGAGCCACGCGGGATTGTGTCCCAATTTTCCTTTGTCCCGCCTGTCCCCAGCTGTGCTAGTTAGTTGTGCATCATTCGATTTTTCCTAGATAATTTCCAACAGTCTTCTAATCGCCTATTTGTCACTGTAATCTTTTTCTCTTCCGTCCTTCCATCGTCGCTAGTAAAACCCAGGGCCACGGCCAAATCCGTTATCCCTTCAGGGAGGGCAGGGAGAAGCCCCGTGCACTTCCAAATCAAGTGTTCTAGTGTCTCGCTATCACTGTGGCAGGCGGTACATAATGTGTCGGTCTCCTGAAGCTTAGCCCTATACATCCTCGTCCTCAAAACTCCCGTTCTCGCCTCAAACAGCAAAGTACTTCCCAGTGAATTGTCAAACAGATTTTCCTTTCTTATGTGCTTTCGTGACCTAAACACTGTTAGAGCCGATATCTCCTGCATTCTCCCCTCCCACATTTTCCTCTCTGCCTCTTTCACCCCCTTTTTCACCGAAATAGTCTGTTCAGCCCCATCACCAGTGTGTAGGTATTTAAATGTAAGCTTTCGGGTTCGGTTTGTCCATTTTGTGTTTAAACGTTTCATGTATAAATACTTAAATACCTTCGTCCCAGACGTTGCGCTCGACCACCTCCGATTTCTAAAAAAAAAAAAAAAAAAAAAATTATGTTTTTTTTGCCGCAATGTCCGTAGCCATGCCCTGAAATAGTTTTGACGAAAAAAATGTTTTGATGACGTGAGCGTGGTTTTAACTTTTAAAAAGAGCGTGAAACTAGGCATCACTCAGTAGTTTATGAAAAATCCACTTTTTATAATACACCCAAAAAAGTTTTTCTTCGATTTGCCCGGCTTTCGACCTACAATGTGGCTGGGCTTGTGTAGTTTGGTTTAATTTAAATATTTCTTTTAAACACAATTTTCGTGAAGATTTTAACATGTTTGTTGTTTTAGTAAAAAATATATCTAATTGCTCCCGTGACTTAATAGAACATATTACCGGCGGCCCTGCTGGTATATAATCTATAAAAAAAATGTTTAAAACGACTCAGTTAAATATCTTGCAGTAAAAAAAAAGTGCGTTTTGAAGCATAAACACCCATTTATTTCACCTTGAGGTGGTTCAAGTAAAAATACAAAATATTGTGGGTTTCAAAGAACAATCGATTGCCTTTTGATTCTGAAAGTTTGATCAAATTAATTTTTGTTTAAAGAGAGAAAACAATTTTTGAAGTTGAACTCTCGCACCACAACCCGGTGTCGCTTCTTAAAGACCGACGACCAGTTCGCGCTTTCCACTTTCGCCCGCTTCCTCCTCTCCCTCCTACCCTTTCCACCCACGCCCGCCCCTCTTGGTCCCTTCTTTCCATCCTTCGCTTCCCTCGCCCGAAGGCGTGGAGAGGAGGGTCTTCTGCCTTGCAGAATCTCGAGTCTGGTCGTCGGCCTTTAACGCCTCTTCGCCGCACAGCACGCCACCTGCGACGATAGCAGACACGATTAGACCCAAAGAAAGAGCAGAGTTTGCTGCCGCTTCCCCTTGTCAGTCTTTCCGGCTGCAAGGGAAGAAACGACGGGTATCGTGTAATAATTGGAGGTGCCGCCAGTGCGTAGATATAGCAGTCCTGTTGTGCCCTTCGTATCCGAGGGCGGCGCGAAACGCGATACCTAAACGACGGGGGGCATCAGGCGACGTACGCCCAAGGCATGGGCGTACCAACCGGGGGGGGGGGGGGCAAGAGGGGCGCTTGCTCCCCCCCCCCCCAGTTCTCAGAGTGGAGAGCAAGGTATGTGTTTTGCCCCCCCCCCCCCCCCCTGAAACAGCTGCCACTGGTCAGGGCAAACACTAGCCGGCGGCGCCCAAGGGATTACAAGGGCATCGCTTCCCAGCCCGGGGGGTCTGCTGGTTTGCCCCCCCCCCCCCCCCCCTCAAAAACAACTTGGTATGCCACTGGCCCAAGGTGTCCCCTTCCTCTCCACATATTCCAGTTAGGTCGTGTAATGTATCCTGCTCATCTGCCATAAGTACTATGTCATCCGCACACATAAGTCCTGGTATTAACTGTATTACATTCCTCCCTCCTCCTATATAACTCAGATCAAAACCTATGTTGCTCTTTTGCGGGTTGCTTTGGACGGCCCTTATATTGGTCTCTGCCGCAGCCGAAGGAGCACGGAGAACGCTGGATTTTTGGCAATAGTTAATCAGGGGAAGGCGTTAACCCTCCTCGCACACCTTGCGTGGGGGCGTGGTATGTGTGTGTGGGAGGGGGGGGGGGGGGTCTTATTGCTTCTCAGAGTCCTGCAAAAGGACAAAGGGAGGCTAAGAAGCAGTTGCTCTTCTTGTATTCTCCCCCTAGAAGCCGCTCACAAATCTCACGAAGGGGGCCTTTTCTCTCTCTTGCACCCATGGAGAGTAATGCGCGTTTCCCCCAACGAAGAGGGGTCGGCCGCGGCACGTTCGGCGATCCCCGGCCCATCCAGCGTCTTGGAAAGATAGTGCCCAGCCAGTGCCTTACACTTGTCGCCCAGTGGGGTGGCGCCCCATCTTGCATAGATGCATACGTACCGCCGCATGTTCGGTGCTTCCAACTCGGGGAGAAATTTATCCAACATCATCTGCAGGTAGATGTCTCCAGGCACGTTGCCGTCGAAGAACAAGGGGCCAGCGACGCCCTCTTTCCAAATTCCACGCCAGACTTACTTTCTGCGACTGCAAAGCCCCCTCGAGCGTGCAGTTCGTATTCGTCGAACTTCAATAGCGGCAATTCTGGGTCTTGACCCGTCCGTCCAAGTGAAATGTCGCCTCATCACTAAACAGCAGAAACTGCAGATGCGGTGGATCTTGTGCAATCCCGAGGAGCTCGTCCCGGCAAAAGTCGAGTCGCTTTTTTGTAGGTCATCGGGCAACTACTCATAAATCAGGGCAAGCTTGTACGGACGCATCTCGCGGATAGCTTTGCACACGGTGCGCCTGAATACACTAAACCAGTGGTTCTCAAACGGAGTCCGCGGAGCCTTTGGGGTCCGCGTAGGCATTCTAGGGGTCCGCGAGGCTCTGCTTCATCAGTCAAGCCCGGGTAATAAGTCTTTTTTTCGGATCAAGAAGTTTTTCAATTTTCGGACGAGTTTTCTTGTGTTTATGTCCATTAGAGAAGTCTACTTCACACTAGCCCTTAGTTATATTCATTTTTTATATCATTACAATGTTTAACCTATACCTTTTCCCTCCCGTCACCACAAATGGGGTCCTCCATCTCCGCCGATCCACAAGGGGTCCGCGAAAAATTGATGGTTGAGAACCACTGCACTAAACAAACGTGCGGTTCTTCGCAAAGGCAAATAAGGATCTGCCTCGAAGGCACCGACGATGGCGAAGCGCAGCTCTTTCTTTAAAAGGATGCTGAACCAAAATCTGGATTCCCCAAAACACGCGGCAAAAGTGTGCAACGGGATGCTACAAACACCGAAACATCTCTCATACAGCGATATCTCAAACGGATGACCGTATTTTTCAACAAAAAAAAGGGGGGCGCATTTGGCAGGAATGTTGACGTCATGTTTCTCCGAGAAGGAGAGGGAACGGCCTCGCGTCTTCTCCGCCTCGCGACTTTGAGGCAGCGAAGCGAAGGGAGGAGGAAACTAGGTTTCTTGACAATCACGCGCCTCGTCGGCCTGGTTCAATCTCGACTTCTTTTTCCAAAAATACTGTTCTCCATTTAAGATATCGCCTTACTAGTATTGTAGCGTCCCGCCTACATCTCCAGCATTGTTCATTTGAAATCCAAATTTCGGTTCACCATCCCTTTAAGGTGGAACGTGGAAAACGTGTGCTTTGCTCTTGACGGTACTTTCTTCTGCAAAGCGCCGGGCCCAAGGCCAGATCACCGACTTGGAAGGTGCATGGCCGTAAGCCGAACTCCAAGAGGAGCTTGCGCTTAAGCTTTTTAAAGCTCCCCAGTTCGGCGTGCCACAGTACGACCCGACACCGTTGTTTGCGCCGTAACTGCAGCATAAAGAACAGTAGGTGACAAAATAAAACTGAACATAAACAAACAACGCAGGTGCGCGTAAGTAACTGTCAGCGATCGTGAAGACAGAAGCAGGCGACGCCTGCTTCGGCATTTATCGGGATAGCTTTTTACACCCACACACACACACAAAAAAAAAACAAAAAAAACATAGTGACCTTAATTTTAGATTCTTTATTTCGTTTTGTTTTCTTCTATTGACATCTACTCTCATATACTTCGTTTCACCCTGCGCTGGACAAAAGGCAACAGCTACGAACAGCCAGATCCAATCTCGAGCTTTTTAGAAATTGCGTGGTACTTAGCTTCTATGCACGTATTGGTCCCCCCGTCTTCTATCACAAATAGGGATGAGCGAACAGTGGTTCGAATCGAATAGCACTGAGTGACTAATGAATTTTACATTGCAAAAAAAGCCACCAAATGCAGGCTGTTTGCAGTGTCGAAGCTGTAGAAAAGATGCAGAAATCTTTGATTCGGACATTAATCGTCCACCCAAAATCATTATCACATTATAGATTAGCGTGGAACGTGATTGGAAATGGCGGACTGTGGCTTTGGCCTTTAGTACTTTTTATTCTGGTAACGGTAAGTGTTGGAACTTTGGCATCTTGCTCGAACGGCCGGGGCTACGTTCTGACAGAGTTTGAGCTTTCCGCGATGCCTACTTTATTCTTTTGTTGCGAAAAACAGGGTTCGGCTTTCTCGCGTACATACATTTTTGTCTTTTTATGAAAATCCCATTTTGTCGTCACTGTATTTCATAGACGTACTCGGGAACTAGTTACGTAATATATGGTGAACCTCTGATGAATACCAGTGGCTCTGCAGTTTGTTGCAAGTGGTCCTTCTGCTGCAACCGGGGTTCTAACTCAAATCTCTGCAACTACATGCACATAAAAACAGAACCCAAAAATATTGCCACAACCTTTATTGTAATCCGGTTTGAATTACACTTCTGACACAAGATCTGCAGTTGACAAGGGCACCCTCACGAGGGTGCCGTTGTCGTATCGCGGAAAGCAGCCAAACATCTTTTAGTGATTTCGTACATTACGTACAAAGATTCTCGATGAATCTTTGTACGTAATGTGCTTGGTTGTTCAGCTGGAAAGCGTTTTTTAACTCCGATATTTGTAGATTTCACTGTATCTGACAGACATTGTTAGGCTTGTGTTGCTAGGCCGGATTAAGCCGGCAGGACAGCAGGGCTGCCATTTTGCTTGATGTGGGCAGTAGCATGTGATTTTCAGTGTGCCTAGGCAATGCTAACTCACTGTCTAGTACTTGAATGTTGGAATTGACATCTGTAAGAGGGAAAGTGTTTTCAGTTCCATTCAAACGAATTGGATCCTGTTCGAATAGCGCTGTGGGTTTATGGGGTGAAGAGGATCCACCCAACAGATTCAACAAAGGCTTGGGAGGCAACGTGAGAAACGTCCCCAAGCAATGTGCAGAAATCAAGCCTAATGGTGCCCGTCCTCTCCTGCTGAAAAACCTTCGAACTCGGCCACCACTAGGTTTCATTATTTGCAAATAGGTGGCAGCTTCCGGGGAAAAGAGTTGGTAGTCAATGTCTTCCGAGCTTAATGGCCCAAGCCACATACCATGCCTGACAAATATCTGAGGGAATCAAATAAAATTGGAACAACTTCAACTAAAAACAGTGTTTCCCACAAAAAGACAGTGCTTGATCAAGGCCTTAAAAAAATGGCACGAGCATCAACATACAACGTTTACCGCCACACTTATTCTTTGGTTGACTGATTGAACAACACCTTGCAGAAATTCACAATTTAAAAGAATAGTTATTACCGACTAAAGGTTTTTTTCTGAAGAGACAGTATCAAACTCGCCGAGAAAAATTGGCATGAAGCAGCACCTGAAAAGTCTTTCAAATTGACAAGTTTTGTGGTAAGGATGTTGGTTTCGCTAACTCCTGATATTTTGTCATAGGTCAATGTAGTATGTTGACTGCCATGTAACGTTTGATCCAGAATGTATTATGAAGAAAATGACTTGGAAGTCCAATAAAGTAGACCTCGGCAATTGGGAGCAAAAACCATGTAGGCGCCTCCAGAGATTCTTTTGGCTTGCATTGCATGCTTCATGCACATGGCTTTAAGGTGGTTTCACGTGACAAACTTCTGGCTCGAAATCTCGCCAGACACCATGTTGATGAACATTCGCCCTATGTCATTCTTTGTGTGGAGGCAGAGTCATCCAACTTGCTCGAGTTCTTTTGGGTTGTGGCCTACTGCTTCTGCCAAAATAGTTGGACCCACAAAAGAGCATTGTCCGGTACTTGGTATTTATATTTACTGGTTTTTATTCGGAGTGCAAACGAGCCGGCCCTCGAGAGTTTGACCAATTGGCAAACAATACACCCCAGGGGCTTGAATTTGGTAATGGCCGGAGCAGACCTTTCTCGGCTGCTGACTGAATGTGGAGGCAAAGCTTTCTGCCAGTCACATTACCGAAAACTGAAAAATTGTGACCTGTTCACAAGTGCACGATCGGGCAACATTCTGGTGAGAACTTCCCACCAACACACAAAAGGGGAGAGGTTTCACGGCCCCTGGCGTGCTAGTCCCGAGCGTACTTTAACCTTCCTGTCGACAGCGCCTTGTGTACGGCGGCAGAACCACTTGAGATTTACAAACGAAGCACAGGTTGCCAATCCTTTTCACCGTGAAATAGCAGACGATCACAATTTCAGCCTGCATCTGATATCATTTTGGGGTGGCACTCGGTTCACAGCAGACAATCCACTTTTTTTTTTTTTCGCTTTGTCAGCAGACGACGTGTTTGCTTGTTTCATTTTCCTATGTGAATGAAACTCTGTAGCAGACCGCCCCCCATTTTCGCCCTTATTAGCAGACGAGCCATCTTTGTCTCTCTTACGGAGCAAGCTCCGTAAGAGACTGATTTGATCCCACTCTTGCAGTGACCAAAAGCTAACATTATAGACGCCCAGGGCCGATTCCAGAAAGAAAATAAACATAGTGAGCATGGGTTTATCCCGCCAAAATATGCTCCCGGTTGATTTCATTGGGTTTGGTAGTTGACAAAGCCAACTGCCAACTGCACGTTGGAGGGGGGGGGGGGGGGGGGGGGGCCGCATTTTCCAGCCAAGACTCCTAATCTAAGGGAACGCACATCAGACAGGCATGCTTCGTGTCCTATACACGTTTCCGAGCAGTCGCACCTCAAAGGCTTGTACGGCCACCATGGGTGCAAAAACAATTTGTTGGGGCACCTATCTGGCAACCGTGGGCACGCCTCGGCACGGCTATCGGAAGACCTACATGTGCCGGCTGCAAGAAGGCGGCGCCCAGAGGCCGCACTTGCCGACGTACGCTCGACTACGTCAGGACGCCCGCAAGAGAGCTGAGATCGATGCAGTCGCGGCAGTTGATCCTGCGAGCAGTGGCCTAGCAAAACACACGGCTGAAAGCATCTTTGCACCTACGATGACAAAGTTTCTGTCGGCAGGCTACACTCGAAGGGCACCCGCAGTCTCCACCTCCGAACCATCTGCCATTCTGGCGTCACCGTGCAAACGCCGGGTGGATTAAATAGAGGCGGCGAGATTCCGCGTTGGCGTCGCGACCCGGGGCGGGTGCCTCCTCAGCGCCGCTTCTTCTTCTCCTGGCGGCTCCGGCGGCCCGCGTGGTGTGCCTGGTGCCTGTGACTGGCTGCCTGGAGCGCCAGCCCGTCTCCGGGGTTGTCCTCGTCGCTCGAGTCGCCCGCGTCCTGCACACACATAACAGACGCTCAGCAGGTGCGACGGCGGCTTCTTCCGGCAGTTAAGGGTACAACGAACTCCCAAAAGATATTTGTCTTAAACTGCCTGGATAGATAACTTTTTCCCAAAATGTAAGGAGACGGCACCACCCAGTTCCTATCAGGTGGTATCACCTTCCCTGGAGTCGCAAATTGTTAGAGAATACAACTCGCAACAACTCGACTAATACGACTCAATAAAACAGAATACAACTCACCGACTTTTGTCATTCCTGATTTTGCGCTCCATAGCCACAGCAATCAAGTTTGGCATGACATGTCGAGTCATCTAGCTCAAATTACTTACGACACTGGGAATGCCCTTTTGCCAGCCTAGCCACTTGAGGGACTTTTCGTGCATCACTTTCAAGCTGTTGATACGAGAGAGTTTGGTCGTCTTTTATTCCTAACATTGCTGCCAGCTGCCTCAGAAGAGCAAATGCCAAAGCTGTAGGCACTTGCGTACAGGAATGTTGCAACCCCGAAAGTTTAAGGCCGCAGTCCAACTGGTTCTGGCAATTTAGATGCTACTCATCTCATTCGGAATACTTCTCTGAATTAGTGGTTTTATTTGAAACATAATATTGCCGCGCGCGCAGCTGGCCAAGTAGGCAGCGCGCGCGTGGCCTAACGGTTATCGCGCCTGCCTTCCACGCAGAAGGCCAGGGTTCGATTCCTGGCCGCGGCTACACATTTTTGTTGACACTTTAATGTGATGTTCTGGTGAATTCGAGAACAGTCTTGCTGATTCGAGGTTAGAATGTTCTATGCGCCGAACCTTCTACGCCGAACGATCCAGAAACCCACGAGGGTACATAAGGGATTCCGCAAGGCGAGCGGAGTCAGTTTCACCTCAGCGTTCGACTCTGCTGCTACGCCGACTTCGACGCCCGCGACGCTTTGTTATTATCTTTTGTACTCCTTCATTTTTGGCACAAGTTTGCCACATTAAGTGTTTATTTCTTTCTGTTTAATTATTGTTTATTGGTCACCAACCGTGACATTTTGGTGGAGGTGCTGGGCACCGCATGCCCGTGCAGCGTTCCCCTCCCAGGACCCGCAGCACAAGTTCGTTTACCGGCTCGGTGAGAAGACCACTCGGCGCGGAACCTGAAACTCGGACCAGCCGCCGCACCAAGGGAGAGGATCCTGACTACGGTTTGCTGCTGGACAAACCCAAGCCGAAGAAGACGACGATGACCAACCAGTCGCAGACCCCCGCCGCTCCTGCCGTCGTCTACCTTCCCGTCGCTCCTCGGACACCGGCTCCCTTCCACGGCGAAAGCCACGAAGACATCGACGATTGGGTCCAACAGTATGAACGAGTGGCCCGTCATAACGGGTGGACACCGGAACAGTGTCTGCAGAACACTTACTTCACCTTCAAAGCAACCGCCCGGAACTGGTTCGAGAACCACGAAGCATCGATCACTTCCTGGGAACAACTCAAGGCTGAGTTGCAAAGAACGTTCACGAACCAAGAACGAAGAGAATGTGCGGAAGAGCTTCTTCAAGCGAGGATTCAAGGCCCTAACGAGAGCGTCATTAGCTTCGTGGAAGATGTCCTGCGACTGAGCAACCGCGCCGATCCTGAAGCATCCGAAGCAAAGAAGCTCAGAGTCCTGATGCGCGGCGTCAAGGAAAACATTTTCGGTGGTCTTGAGCGGAGCCCGCCTACCACCGTCGAAGGCTTCATGACGGAGGCCACCAACATCGAACGTGCCCTTCAAGCACAAGCCGCCCACTATCACCGAGTTCCCGGCGTCGGTTCCTTTTCGCCTTCCGGCTGCAACACCACGGATATCCGTGAGATAATCCGGGACGTCGTACGGGAGGAGATCAAGAAACTTCTACCTGCCGCCGCAAGCCCAGCTTCGCCCTCAATCGCCGAGATTGTCAGGGAAGAAGTCCAGCAAGCGCTGCAGCCTGAGGTTCTCGTCAGCACCGCTCCGGAACCACCGACGTTGAGTTACGCCGCAGCGGCCCGACGGCCACCGCCTCCTCGTCGCACCTATGTCGCGCCGCCCCGACGTCAGTCTCCTGCACCGCAGCACGACCGACGTCACGACGACCAAGTCCAGTACGCCTGCCTGGAGCCTCGCGCACCCCGCAAGATCGACGTGTGGCAAACGCCTGACCGACGCTCTCTGTGCTTCCATTGCGGGAAAGCGGACCACACCTACCGCCGATGCACATACCGACGACTCAAGCTATGCGGGTTCCACCCAAACGACCCGCGCCCCCGTCATGGTGAACGTCCTATTGAGATCGACGAGTACCTGCGACGACCTCAGTCCGCCGAGCCTGCGTCCCACCGAGAGTTTCGATCGCCGTCACCGCGACGTCCAGCTTCGCCGATGCACCGACCAGGACGTGAAAGCCTGTCCCCCCTCACTCCTCGCCGGGGAAACTAAGCGCGGCAACCCCTGGAGGTGGAGTTGCCAAAGACGACCGACGCCACAATCCTCCACGAACGTCGGGGGGCCCCCACTCGAACGCTAGCAGAGACCAAAACGACGCCGCTGCAGTGGTGTCCCATAACCTAAACGTCGTCATCGATGGCCACGACGCATCTGCACTCGTGGACACCGGAGCAGACTACTCAGTCTTGAGTGGGAGGCTCTCCCACCGCCTTCGAAAAGTCACGACGCCGTGGGATGGACCTCAAATACGAACCGCCGGAGGGCACCTCATCACACCCATCGGGAGATGCACTGCTCGCGTCAAGATCCGCAGTGAGACGTGCCCTGTGAAGTTCGTCGTTCTACAAGACTGTTCCAGAGACGTTATTCTCGGCATGGACCTTCTGTGTGAATACGGCGCCGTCATCAACCTTGGTGAGAACAGATTGACGCTGCGCAAGCCTGTTCCGTCTTCAGAGAAACCTCAAACAGCGTCAGCCGCCGTCCGAGTCGCTGCCGGCCACGTGAACCTGCCGCCGCGATCAAGTGTTGTCGTACCCATAGTGGTTGATGCAGCTACCTGTGGCGAAGTTAACTGTTTTCTCTATTCTGTTCAACGAAGCTGCTTCAACGATATGAAATTAGCACACACTACCAACTGACGACCGCATACACAAGCCAATCAAACGTCAAATCGCGACCTCGAAGATGTTGGATCGACGGTGGCGCTCCCTGGCAAAATCAAACCTGCAGGCTCAGTGAATACCACCTATTACCCCCCCCCCCCCCCCCTTTTTTTTCACATTGGCTACGCGTTTTATATGATTAGTTTATGTTTTGTTTTTCGTGGGTAATGGCGCTCTGCGTAAGGGTTCTCACCTATCTGCCCAGCCCTGAACACTAGCACCTGCGCCCTTCTAAGTACAAATAAAATTATTATTATTATTAATAGGGTTACAATAGTAAGGGTGCAGGCGAGCTGGTGGATGTTAACCATTTTGAATATACCTGAGACTGGGGTAGAAAAACATAAAAGTCGAAGAAACAGAACGGGACAGGACGACGTCTCAAGGGACGTCGTCCTGTCCCGTTCTGTTTCTTCGACTTTTATGTTTTTCTACCCCAGTCTCAGGTATATTCAACATGATTAATAGGGTGACCAGACGTCCCGTTTTGGCCGGGACAGCCCCGTTTTTGAGGTCCGGTTCTGCCGTCCCGTCTTTTTGTCCCAATAAAAAATCATGTCCCGTTCTCGCAAGAGTGCAGTTTTGAAATTGGCACCAAGCGAGTTGAAGCAAACCGAAACTATGCCTACTCGTTACAAGTACAGTTTACAAAAATTACCGTAGGTGCTTCAAGACATTTATCCAGAGAGTAAAATTTAGAACTGCTCTGGGCCAAAAGTCCCTTCCAAATGGGTGCATGGAACTGAACTGGGAGTGTGACTGTTCCAGGGCTTAGTGCAATATGAGAAAGTCTTGAAATAGGACCAGTTATTTAAGTAAATTTGTTCTCCCAATCTCAATCTTTAGTAATCTCCCCCCCCCCCCCCCCCCTTCCTTGCTGGGATGTCCCGTTTTCTACCTTGAGGAATATGGTCACCCTAATTATTAGTATCATTGCACCTCTAAAGTAAATTGCAGCGCGATACAAACCGATTTCTGCGGGCTGTCTAATGTGCGTATAAAGCGTCAGTTATCATACTGTATGGACTCGGACGCATTTTGCTGCACACAAGCTGCGCTGCTGCTCTCGCCAGCGTGCGGTGAAAGGAACGGGGCAGCATACCTTGCCCTCTTCCTTGGGTGGCACGAAGACGACGGCGGCGATGCACAGCAGCTGGAAGATGGCGCCTAGGAAGAGGCCGTAGCGCAGCAACTCGTCTACCAGCTCGGTCATCTTGCCTTGCACGCTGCCAGCGACGCCAACGTCCATTCTGCCAGCGTCTCTTCTTGTCTCTTGCTGACGCGGTTGATGGTAAAGCTAGAACTGATCAAACCACGACGGTAACGCTCACCACAAGGCACTAACCCAAACAACAACAAACGCCTGACGGTGATGGCCCTGATGGCCGCCGGCAAGGTGCACTCTGGGAAATTTCAGGAGTTTTAAACATGAACAGAAAAGTAGACACAGCTGAACCTTACAAATTGGGTGGCTGCTTGCGCCACCTAGAGCGTTTATAATATCTATATTTTTTTAATTGCCGGTTTAGGAAATTTTAGCAACTCTGTCTGTTATGAAAATTCGTAAACACGAGCTCAAACGAGCCAGGGCACTTCCTTGACCAAGAATTCTAGAGTGTCCTCAATTGGACCCTTCTTCCCTCTCCTTTCTAATGTGCTTGTATTGTTTCACCCTGGATATCCACCTTTTAGAAATTATGATTCCAGAGGTTCTGGTATGAGAACGCAGCTTTCAAGCGAGATATCGTGCCAGCATTCGTGGTGTGCGCGCGCGTTCTCTGCCAAAAAAACCTCGAACTGGTGATTTCCTACAAAGCTGGATTCTTGACCCTAGTTTTCCGCCTGGTGGCGCTAAGTATTTTGACATTAGTAAACCTCTACTTCGGCAACTTCAGGGCTTCACCCCGCAGTTTCCCAAGGCGATGCAGCTGTAGTCGTTGGCTGTAGTAGAGGCTTTGGGATTGATAAAAAAAAAAAATGGATGTTGGGAAAGCGCAGATCGCCAAGTCAAGGTTACCGGACTGGTGGCATAAGTAAAGGAAAGAATAAAGTGTTGCCATTTTTTTCTTTTTAATAAACTGCGGGCTGCTCTTCACCCTCTCTGGATCGTGCATCTTCCCCGCAAGGTGTTACAAGATCACGCTATGGACGTGCCATCAAGCAATACCACCTAGAAGACAAGGCCTGCGCATGACGTTTCATTGGATGGATGGATGGATGGATGAATACGGCTGAGCCCTTTGGATCGGGCGGTAGCTTACGCCACCTAGCCATTTTGTTTTACCATTTAAGCTTAGATTATTTAAATGTGAAATCTATATTCACTCCGCAGTGCAAAGAAAGTGAGGCTATGAAACCCCCTTGCCATCAGTGAATAAGAAAATACCTAGTTTTCTCTCGATTTCTGCCACCATTCACTTAATCTTTGCTTGGTAATCTCTACAGTCTTGAAATCCACTCTCCCTTCGCTGTCTCTAAAACCCAATGACTTTATTAAATCTATGTTGTCTTCAGTAGGCATAGGGTGAAGCCCTTTACAGTAGAGTATCAAGTGCTCAGCCGTCTCGTCCTCCTCTCCACAAGCAGTGCACACTGTATCAATTTCCTGGTACTTCACTCTGTATGTTCTGGTTCGCAGAACACCCGTTCTTGCCTCAAACAGCAATGAGCTTCCCCTAGAATTGTCATAAATGCTTTCTTTGGCAATAACTCTTTTGTTTAATCTATAGCTTTCCAGAGCCGTCTTTGTCTGCATTCCCTCTAGCCACCGATCTCTTTCTGTGGCCTTAACTTTCTTCTTAACTGAGACTTGCTCTTCCGTATCTTCGCTATAGCCCAAAAACTTTCCTCTTAATTTCCTAGTGCGCTGTCTCCACTTGGTGTCTACACTCCTCATGTATAAATAGCATTAGTAGATCCCCGACCCGCCCCAAGCGGCAAACACGCTAAGCTCGACGAGAGTATGTCAACATCGTTGGGCGCGGCATGTGCGGCTGGTGCGGCCCAGAGCTCTGGTGCGGCAACTGTGGGTGCGGCCGTGCGGCTGCGGCATCGGCGGCACGTCATCGAAACGAAACTTGTGCGGCTGGCAGTTGGTGCAACAGTGGACAGTGCGGCGAAGATGAATCGCTCAGCCTAGAACAGGAATCATCACATCGACGGGTGCTTCGTTTTGACGTTGGTCTTGCTCTGCACGGATCGTGTCTATTTTCTTAGTCTACATTCAGCATCGTTTACAAGGCTCGGCAAGGCTGGCGTGGGTTCCGCAGTGCTCGGGCAGCAACGGTAGGAAGACTACCATTTATTTCGCCTCCCTTTTTCTCTCTATTCCTTACGTATCCTTTCTCTCGCCAGGGAACCAGCGTCGTGCTGAGAAGTTACGGAAGCAATTTCTCTTGAGGCTTGCATCACCGGCCGCGCGGCCGATTGCACCCGCACAACCCGGTACGTATGGGAAACACGGTATGTAAACTAAAGCACTGCTCGGGCCTATTTTTTGAGGCCCGGCCGGGCCCTGGCCCGCTGACTCTCGACCCGGCCCGATGGGATGCTTACTTAGTCAGGCCCGGCCCTGCTTGCCTGATCAGGCCCGGCCCGGTGTGAGCTAGGCCAATTTTGGCTAGGCCAAGGTGTGCCCCATCTCTTAAATGCAAAGGTGCCCTGCGGAGGTGTTAGGGCAGTTAATTACTAATTTTCATGAAAGACGCTGTCATATCGCAGACACGTGGTGAACATTCGAAAGTTTACACACATATAAATACATATCTTTAATAGCAAGATGCAGGGTTTTTTTTTTGTCGTTTTTTTTCTTCAAAAGTTGAAAAGAAAGGGCAAGACAATCGTGCTGTCCCCTGTGACTGCAGATTGCCCTCGTTTTCTTGCCTGCTGGTGGTTGTCCCACTATGCTGATGGAATCCCCATAATTCTATCTTTTTGCGGGCTTGGGCCAAAACAGCTTTGCTTATTTCAAAGATTATTTTAGTGGCATTGTAGCGAGATGGCCCTTCCGTTTTTTCTCTCTTTAAAATCTAAACTATCAGTGCGCTAGCATTTTCTTCTCAATGTTTTAGAAAGTATGCTACACCATTGCGCGAGCCCGGCCTGCGCCCGGAAAGAATTCGTGCTACCCTGGCCGGGCCCAGGCTTTCGGGTTGGCCCGGGCCCTTGCAGAGCTAACGTACACTCTTTGTTGTTGATGTGCCTACCGATGTACAGTCGGGGACAAAAGTCTCCAGGATGCGCGAGCTGTGACTGAAACGAATTGCTCTGCCATCTGGCGGCGGGTCGCCTGGTTTCGAGATCACACAAAAGCGCATGCGTGTCCTACTGTGCCTTCAAACGTGTGTTTTCCTGCTCTTGTGCGGCACAACACTTGCAATCGGGCGCGTGGTATTGCCTCTAAGATTGCGCTTGCGGCTGACCAGGGCCCGCTACGCATTTCGAAACTGGAGATACTGCCTGCAGCATTGCGCCGTATTTCGCCGTGTCAGCGCACTTTGGTTTATATATAAACCGCTAAGCTGAGCTGCCGTGACTTCTTGCTTTATAGGTGCTATGTCAGTAAGCGCGGCCGAATCCGAGTTTGGCGCCACGCCGCAGAAGAGCGGGAAAACGCATGTTTGCAGGCACAGTAGGACACTCATGCGCTTTTGTGTGATCTCGAAACCAGGCGGCCCGCCGGCAGATGGCAGAGCAATGCGTTTCAATTGCAGCTCGTGCGTCCTGGGGACTTTTGTCCCCGACTGTAGCTTCAGCGTATGCACTATTCCACGTAACATGATGTATGGACACCTGAGATGGCGCTAGGAGAGAGGAAACTCAAAAGTAGAAGGTGCACAGAACGAAGATACACAGATGAGTAAAACAGCAGTTAAGCCGTCGCTGGTTTTGTCTAATCTCCAATAATTGAAGTGTTTTACAGGGGGAAAGTGGGCCAAATTAGGTCTACTGCACGTGTGAAAGGGGGCGAAAAGCTGGAAGAGTAGGTTGGTGACGTTTTGCGCTTAGCTCTGCCCCGGCACATGCCGATAAATGGTCAGGACTAAACAGCAGGCTCGTTTGATTTACCTGCAAGGGTGCAGAAAACTAGCGCGGTGTACTTCTGGTGTAGTATAGCAAGTATGTCGCCCTACACTTTTCTGCACTGGTGCAGGAGGGGCAAGCAAATGAACAAGCCTAACATCTAGGCATAACTAATGGCAGTCATGCTAATGCGGCATCCGTGAGTTTTTTTATTGCTGTTTTTGTCGTGCTGGGTACTTGCCGAGTTCAGAAAAATGATACTTTTGTGACTAGTATCCTTCTCAATCGAAGGGCAATGAAAGCAGGCTGCGTTTTTGGATGCACTGCGTGCTTAAATGACGGCGTGTTGCTGTTCAAATTTCTGAAGGATGCCAAACTGCAAAAGATGTGGATCCGGCTAATAAACGGGGATAATTGAAAACCATTCCTCCATCGTCTGCTCGAGACTTTTGAAGATTGTTAGATCAAGACGACAAGAAGGCTTTTCTAGAAAGAGGGAGCACTTGTCCATTGTTGCAACTCAGGGGTTCTTCTGTGGCTACCAGCCACAGAAAAGCGCCTGCCAATCGTACCGGTAAATTCCATTTGTTCAGCTTGCCTTACCTTTAAAGACTTAACCAACTCTTCCCTCTATTGGGTTCTTGTGATCCTTGGGTGATGAAAAACAATGTGACATAGAGTTGATCACAGTTAACCAAACCGCCTTAGCATTGCAAGACAAACTTTAGCCGAGAACTCTACACTTTTAAGGCGGAAGCGCATTGTGAAATTAGTACTTGCCCCCTGTGGTCCACGGTTAACAGGTGGTCACCGGTTGGCACCGATTTCGTTTCGAACATGACAGTTTGTGTGATCAAAACAACTTGTGTAGAGCAATGAGTTTGGCGGTACTCGTCAAACATGGGCTCTCAGGGTAAATTAATTTACTTAAAACGACAGAACATATGCTTTGCGCTGTTTCCGCTCATGTTTCTCGAACTCTACAGCCTTGTCTTTGAAGTAGCAGAGTTTATCCGAGGGCTGCAGGGAAGCAGCCATTCCTATGGCCAAGCAGAGAGCACAAAGTCGCCACGCCACTTTGTTTACTCGCGGTAGTCCCCAAGATCCCGCCTGAACCTCTCCTCCAATCGGAGCTCGGTGCCGTGGCGTCACGGCAGCCGCCTGCACGAAAGAGCAGACGACTTGATTGCCGTACGGAAACTACAAGTTTGGGAAAAGTACTAGCAGGAAAACTACCTGGTCGTGAATGAAAAAGCACCAGTGTCCGGCGTTTTTCAAGTTTTTACAATTAATTGTGTACATCGGACATGCATGGTTATTAGAGATGGCCCAGGATGTCGGAAAAAGAAAACATACAACACAAAACTCTGCACCCTTTGCCGATTTATGTGAGGAAACAATGTGTCGCAGCAAAGCACGCATTATATTCAAAGAGTAAGACTTCACCATTTTCACTTCCTTTAGCGTGGGCCCCCAATCGGGCTCAAATCTTTTGCCGATATGCGTTCCTTCACTACTCTTCAATCAATATCATGAAAATAATCAAATCCCTAATGACGAGCCAAAGTTCTGAAGATTCAATAGGCATTTGTTCTTTGACAAACGCGGCCGTCAGATGCTTCGTTGGTTAATGTGGCCATTCGGCACTGCAAAGCAACAGCATGCTTACATGGGATTAAAAAATATGAAAGGACAAAGCAGAACGCACAGCTAAATACTATACATGGTGAGGTATAAATGTGCTATGGCAAAACATATTAGCATGTCTTTGTCAGCGGGCATTGCTGGTTGTCGTTATTGTTTATCGATGACATGCGTCTCTAAGAAACTTGACTAAGCACACCCGGCATATCTCCAAGGAAATTCGCGACTCCAGCGACCTATAGGGACGCCACTATCGGGCAAATATGGCGGTCGAATCCAGGTCCTGCCGTGCCATGTGCCAGCTCAACGCACAATGCTGCAGCACCAGCAAGCAAGCATTTGACTCAAAATGGCTTGCCTCGCGTCTTATCTTCCATTATTTCGAACCTGTGGTGATGTGGTTGGGTAAGCGAACTTCCAGAGGCCTGACTTTCTTCGAGGAAACTAGGAAAGGACTGCCATCTATCCTACAACGGTGCTGATGAACGTTTATAAACGCAGAATGTCTTTCTCACGCGGTTCCATAGGTAGCGTGCAGAGCAACCTGGGTCACTAGGCGATACTCTGGTTACGACAGAGTCATTGGTAGAACTGTGCTGTCGCGCAAACCATCGACAACATGTAATCACGGAAGCCACAAGAGACGAGCAGAAATCGCGAAAGGACCTGTTCCGGCCAGCTCAGTGTTTTCCCGCTAGGTGCCGTTCGTTTTGCTGGACTCGCGAATTTGTCGGATACAGTTCACCTGTCTTTATACACAGTTTCAAGCGCGTACACACACACAAAGAAACATTGCATGACTGGGTACAGCATGCGCATTCTGCATGGTCCAGTATCGGAACCTAATATTCTGAGGGATCTTAAATAGGTATGTATATGAATCTGGCACTCCCCCTGTCTGTGTCCATTTGTCGCGTAAATCGGTGTTGATTGCCAAAAGTTGTTGCTCAACTTTATGTAGCTCATTTCATATGCGTTTAAAATGTTTCATGCGCTAGTGAAGGAGTGAGTACGGGATCAACCATACCATGTGCACCACTCATTTCGTCCTCTTGCTCGTCCAGGCTGCGGCTCGCCTCCAGCTTCCGACCCCATCGTTCCTGCTCAGTTGTGACAACCCTGTTTTGGTGCGCGACTTCAACGACTGTCATGGTGAAGCAGGCCAATAACAGGAGTGTGTGGCCTATCGGCCACCGATCTGTACCAACCAGACTGTACGGACCACCGATTTCTTCTCCTTGCATGTTCAGGTTGGTCCAATACTCTCGTAAAATTGTAAAGAAGCAACATGCGTTTACTGGTGTTCCCACACCCAGAAGTGCCTTGTAAAACTGTTTGGGACTGTTGATATGGTAATCCTCCTCCTATCCGGTAACATTAAGATTATACCGGTCCGATGAATGAACAACTCAGACAATTCAATAAGATGCACAAGATGCTGGTAGAGGTTGATACACACGCGCTTAAAATAGATCGGGCTGAATCAGGAATACTGGCATCACTAAACTAGAAATAATGATCCCAAGGGCTTATTCAAACTGCCATGACAGATATTATTGCTATATTGGCCGAGCTTGAAAGTAGAACTACTGCTCTGGTTCGAGAAGTTTGCATGACTAGAAGATTAGTAGAAGTAGTCCAACAAGAAGATTGGGCCCTGCGAGCACATCTAAATGAGGATGACGATCACTGTCGCTGTGGCGACCTAATCTTTTATGGGATATCTGACCACTTATCTGAAAGTTTGGCACAAACAGAGGAGGTAATTTTGGACATATTAAGGTAGTTATTGAATCTTCAAGTAACTCATGGAGCTATTATTCGGGCCCATGAGATGGGTAGTGAGTGATGTTCAGTTATCACCAAATGGGCAACATACACACTAAAAGTCCAAGTTCTTCTGCCCAGGTCATCATTTAGATCTAGCCCCAGCACCGTGTGTGAGGACCTCTCAATTGAAACATGTCATGCATGAAAAAAAACTGATAGAATTTGCCAAAGAATAAAATGTCACTTTCAAGCTTCGATACAGTAGCATGTGCATTAACAATAAATACTGTGTGTACAATCCCGTTAATGACAATGTGCTTGAAACAGGTCCCTCAGCCTTGATTTCCGAAACCCAGAGTTTGTTTTGTGCTGGGGATCCACCTGGAATATCGAATTTGGAATAGCAGGCAGAGAGGGGAAGAGTATGCCATCCTCTTGTCTCAGATGTATCGGGGCTTCTTACTAATAATAGAAGTATTATTAAAAGGTGAATGGACTTGCGTTTCATTATTGACTATATATGCAAGTGGCTGTTATTGTCTTAACTTAAACTTGGCTATCTGTACAGAAGTGTGTAACTGTGAACTTTTTGGTGGGCCTAAGGAATCTCTCTATGACCACCGTTCCTTGTAAACTCCTTGAGCATGTTATCTTGTTCTCACAATGGGGGCAGGGGGATCTAGTCCCCCTGAGAAATTTGAGGTATTTATAGCAAATAACTTCAAAGGCCAGGCATGTGTTTGTCACCTGGAGCGTAATTTTGAAATGGGTCCAGTACTGCAGAAAAAAATGAAGTAATACGGAGGTTGTTTCTAATCACCAGGAAGATTAACTCTAAACTTTGGAGAGCAGACATATGATCTTGGCTGGTGCCCATAGCTTGGTGTTTGTTCAAAAGCAATGAAAAAGTTTTTGCGGCACCTCAACCTATGTATACACGAACTCAACTCTGTTACGTCACGGCGCTTCGGGCGCACTTGTCTGGGGCTGTAGGCAGAAGACCGCATGTGTGATGTATATTCCTGCGTTGTTTTGAAAGGGACCGGGCAAAAACCTGCCTTCTCATAAAAATGCCGTGACTGGGGCTGTACCAAAAGAGTCGAGAAAGTTTGGAAGGTCAGTGTTCATGTGCTCGGTTCGTCCGAGAATCTGGGTATGTGCCATGAAAGGGCAAAACCAGACGCCGTCGGACCACGATTGCTTGGGCAGGGAGCACTTTGGGTTGAATTCTCGGATACTTGGGTCATCCGACTCATTTGCTTTGTTCCAACATGAACGCCGGAAAACCGTGAGGTTGTACAGGATCACCTTCCGACAACAATCAGTGCGTCTTCACGTTGAAACGGCCGCCTGATCGTTCAGACTGTCGTCTACTCTTACAAACGTTTCTGCTTGTCGTCTGCTCTTTTAGACGACACCGGCTCATTGACCAAACGTTGGGCCGATACTTGCGATAAGAAGTAGGTGCAGGCCTCAAAAAAAGACTTAGGTTTGAAGGTTGGTAAGCAGGCTCTATGTAAACAGTAGATGCAAGGAGATGTTGATCATTGTTACCAGTGGCCACCACCGACTTGTTATGCCTGATTCACTTGGTCCAATTCTGCTTGCTATTTTCAGTATCGACGTCGACCATCTCAGCTACGGTTCACGCTTTTGCAGCCCGAGCGGCGTCGTGACTGAAAATTGCAAGCGAAATCTCATCATGCGAATCAGGCTTTAGCGTACATTCTGCGGCGTCCACGCGTAATGAATCGCCGCATGTCATATTATTCACGCAAAGTTTTGTGGTGTAACTAGCCTCGATAATTTCGCTGAGGCTGCTCAAGATAGTCAGACATTGCCAGGAAGACGTAGAATCAACAATTTGAACGCGAGAAAGGGCAGGGGGACTCACACCGACGCCTACAACATCGCATTTCAATGGTTTATGGGCGACGGAGAGCTTCTTGCCCACACTCCATTGCGCATGCACGGCGCCGGTGGCTTCCGCTAGGGCCACTCCGGTTTGTTTCTAAACGCGAGTAGGTGTTTGAGCAGCCGGAGGCATGCAAATAATGCTACCATGTTTTGTAAATAAGTAAACCTGGCACAAGGCTTAAAACCATAATCAATCATTATGTTCAAGGCATCAATGACCTGGCAATGAAAACAAATACTGCTGCACCCTTTCACTCTATATGGGCAACAATAAGGAAGAAAAGTTTCGTAGCATATAGAAGAAATGGGCCGCCAACACGGATATTCATGTCAATGTCTTCTGAGAATTGGGATTTGAAGGTGGTGCTAAAAGGAAAAGGCTTTTAGGGCTGGGCTTTTGAGGTCGGGTGCTTTCGTGCACCACTCCGACAGAATGTCTGGTGTAACCCTCTGCGGGAAAGTTTGAGGACTAATGCGAGGGTGTGCAAGTGCTTGGCATTTTACTCTTTACCATTGGACAGTATTTTTTATTTAAGCCTCACATGCCCTATTGTGGCTTCATTCTGTATTAAAAACTCCAACAGAAATACTGAAAAAAAATACTGTAAACGACTTAATTTTCGCGAATCATCTGCGACTAACGAAAAATAGGTCCCATGAACAATTCCGGTAAAATGTAAACATATTGGAAACTATATTGAGATCCTACCGAATCGCGAAAATTAGAGCCCGCAAACTATTCCAAAACTTCAGCTTTAACCTAAATCGCGAAATATTGAGCCCGCGAAAAATATGTCGTCTGCAGTATATCTGAGGTTGCCAATAAATGCACAAAACATCAAAGTAGCGATTAATATACCTCTATAGCTGTTTTGTATTTGCCAGCTTCATGTGCACTCATAATTTGTTATGTCACAATAGTTTCTTGTTGTTAAGATATTTATTTACCACTTCCTTACTTTTTCAGTGTGCGAATCTCGAAAACCAGGTGCCACCGGGTGTGGATACTTGGGACAACATTGGAACAGTGAACTTGAAACACCTCTGCAGGAATCGGTGCATGAAGCAGTTTGTGATATTTGGGAACTTCAAAAGCCACATTGTTGATACTTGGCAGACGGTTAGCAAGGTGGGTGTGCATGGCATGAAACAAGGTGTGTTTTCTGTATATATCGGATGTCAAGGGGATCAATAGAGGTGTTGAGTTCAAAACTTTCTGCGAACAATTTGATTTTATAAATCCTGATATATATAGGGTCTTGGGTGGCCAACGGCATGGTAGCACTTTTTAGATGAGGACAAAAGAAGGAAAGACAAGACAGGCACGAGCTCTTTTGTCCCTGTCTAAAAAGCGCTACCATGCCTGTGGCAACCCAAGACCAATACCAACTAGCCATTCAACATTGATATATAGGGTGGCATGAATAGAGTTGTTGACTGTAAATTGTGTCAGAAAAATTGATAGCTGCACGTGCGCAGCTGAAAGTTTTGTTAATGGTGTATTTTCACAGTGCACGCTAACTTGTCAGATTTCAAAGCGGAGCTTCGTTTCTGTGAGAAATTAGAACAACATTTGTCTAAATTAAGATGACGAATGCTGATGCGGAGAAACAAGCCACAGCGAGAGCCACATTTGCTTTATTGACGAGAGATGGCGCGGCGCAATTCATCTTGGAGAGTGCTCTTGTTCCCACCGATTTCGTCTGCGTGGCGTCTACTTTATTTCACCAATCGCCTATACTTCTCTTTATTTGTGTTAAATCTCACTGTGCACACTTCATATACAACACAGGCAGAAAGACGAATCAAATGAATTTTACTGAATGTGGCCATCACGGCTAATGGCCCCAGTGGCTCAGATTCGAAGCGCTGGCCTATGGATCCCCAGTTGACGGTTTAGAACGCCGGCCGAGGTTCCCACCATATTACTGATGCGTATTGTGAAAAGGGCACCGTGTAATTCAGACTTGTGCTGCAGGTATCTTTTGTTGGTGTGGCACGTAAACCCCCCAATTTTGTTTTTTTGCATCACGGCTTGTCGCCAAATCTTCAACAGTTGTGCCATCTCCTGTTAGCAGTAGCAAGCACGGCTCTCGCTGTTCGTCTGCATCAGCGTCCGTCGTAGAAATTGTGGGCACCCTGGCGGCTTCCCAGTCCAGTCCAGTTGCCCGACTACGGGCCACAGGTGGCAGACTTTCCCGCAGGGCGGTGGAGTCAAGCCGGCCACGCGCACATCGCGCGCACCACCTTGATAAGGCGGATCAGAGGCAGTGCACAGGCAGTCGCTGACCAGACTTAAGCGCCTCGGTAACGATGTTAGTGTATTGACCATCTCATTCATGTCCAATTAAATGTATCTTTTTGTTGGAGCCATTCGCTCTGTGTTATTCGTCCGGGTCGAGTATGCAGCAAGCAAACCGACCATAAAATTTACAGAAATATTCTAATTTCTTACAGAAATGGAGCTTCACTTGGAAATTTGACAAGGTAGCATGCACCACCAAGAGTATTGACCGAAGTTTGAGGTATGTACTTGCAGGTTCCAATTTTTCTGGCTCAGTTTACTGCCTGCACTCTATGAATGCCACCTTATA